AATGATGTTCCTAAAAAAGGGACCCAGAATATCTCTCAATTTTAAAAAAAAATGAAATTTCAGTCCAAATTTTGCTGGAGGGCAGCATCTCATGGTGTGCCAATGATGCACAGTGGAAAATATTGCTCATTTAAGATACAATGACAACTAAATCAGATCTGAACTGCCGCATGTTTACAAAAATCCATTTTTAACTTGTGGGTTTGATAGACCAACAGGGAAAAGCTTAAACAAAACACAGTAGATTTTCCATCAGAATTCACATACCTTGCTCTAAAACAATGGGAGGATTGCAGAAAGTCTAACTAACAGTACACGTGTTATTTTTCCAGGATTTCCATAACTTTTACAGCAGATGTACAGGAAAAGGCCTGCACAAAATTCATGGAATTATCCATTCCAACTCAACCAGCAAATAAAGAAATTAAAACAGTTAAATAATTTAATCATTACCTCCTTAGGCTCTCAGAAATAGATGTGTTTTAAAAAAGCATGTGCTTTTACCCATATTCTTAACTTTCAATTGAGTACTGGGGCAGCACGGTGGCCCAGTGGTTAGCACTGCTGTCTCACAGCACCAGATACCCGGCTCGATTCCACCCTCGGGCTGTGTAGAGTTTGTACATTGTCCCCGTGTCTGCGTGGGTTTCCTCCAGGTGCTCCGGTTCCCTCCCACAATCCAAAGATGCACACAGTAGGTGGATGCTAAATTGCCCATTGTGTCCAAGGATGTTTAAGTTAGGTGGGTTAGATGAGGGAAATGCAGGGGTAGTGGAATGGGTTTGGATAGGACGTTCTTCAGAGGGGCTCTGAGGACTTGATGTACCAAATGGCCTATTTCCACACTGTAGGGATTCTATGATTCCATGATACTGGCCGTTATTGTTCTGTTTGATACAGGGACTTGATTTTGCAAGAATGTGAACTCAAGGAGTTAAGTTCATCACATTTACATTGCAAGAGTAGGGAATCATAACAATGTAGATTCACAGACCTGCATTTTTATGCATCAAAATGCAACTAAATTTCTTGAACACGAATTTCCAAGGAAGAATTTGAAACTGTTGAAATAGCATTCCTGTGCCGAAAAGTATCTTCAATGGTAAAATAACAGATTTAAAAAAAAAACCTTTTTGCCACAAGGTTCAATATTCAATTAAAAATAATATAAATTAGAAAGCACTCAATAGTATACCGTCAACAGCACTGCTGAATGTAGAACTGATTCATTGTCTTCTTTCTGCTTGGAGTTACTATAACGCTGGTTGATCAACTTTCTCAATCTCCCCTTATGAATGATCTATTCCTCTTCAAATCCCACTGCATTTAAATTTCTCAGATCTGCATATTTAAATCTGGTTTTATGTAGGAACACAGAAGCAGAAGACCCTTTGAGCCTGCTCTGCCATTTTAGATCATGACCGATTATCTACCTCAACACCATATTCCCTGATATCATTAGTAACTAGAAATTGATCAAACTCTTGACATGAAATTATGTAAATGACTGAAATTCCACAGGTTCCAAAGCTTCAGCACCAGCTAAGTGAAGAAGTTCTTCCTCATCTCAGTCCTAAATGGGTTGACTTTTATTCTGAGAATGTTTCCCCTGGCTCTCGACGCCACAACCAGGGGAAATATGGTTTCCGCACCTTGAGGAATTTTCAAAGTTTCTTTTCAATCACTTCTTATTGTTCTAAACTCCAGGAAATATAGGCCCAGTCTCTTGATCCTTCCACACAGAACAGTCCTGCTATCCTACAAATCAGTCTGGAGAACTTTCACTGTGTTTTTCTCACAGCAAGTCTATCATACAGTAGGTAAGGGAAACTACATCACTTTCAAACTAAATGTAACATTCTATCCTACTATGTTCATTAATCTCAAGGGATCATTTACAACATTAGTTAGCTCTTTCCCATTGTGTAAGAATAGATATAAAATAATCTGTGTTCTACTCAAAACACATTCTAGGAATTCTTCCCCTACAACACTGTGCTTATAACACTCACTTAAATCTATATGTAGATCTATTGCAGAGACATGAAATCTGGCAAGAAGAGCAATAAAGAAGGGAATGCCAGAAAAATGAGATCTCGGAGTGGTTACAACATAGCAAATAGTAGTGGTACTTTACGACACTGTACAAATCAAGAATTTAGAGGCCCACATAGCAAGGAGAATGCTGCAATCACAGGTAACTTCAGTCTACATATAGATTTAAATGAGTGTATTAAGCATAGTGTTATAGGGGAAGAACTCCTAGAATGTGTTTGAGTAGAGCACATTCTGCATTCCCCTTGCTACATGAGCCTCTAAATTGTTGATTTGTACAGTGTCCTAAAGTACCACGACTATTGCTATGCTGTAAACACTCCGAGATCTCATTCTTATTGGCATTCGCTTCTGTATTACTCTTCTTGCCAGATTTCATGTATCTGCAATAGATGTTCATATCATTGCAATCTCTTATCAGCTATTTTCTTTGATCTACACTGACCCACAATGTGCAAGACCTTAATTTTGTCTCTTCTCATTACTCCACACATCCCACCTGAACATCTGTATCTCAGTGGTACACATTGCTGCTCCTCCTTTCTGTTATTATACAGTGCAGAAATCTGGACAACAAGGGTTGTACAATCTCTGGTAGATCCTCTCAGTTTCAGCCATACATACCTAGCACATAACATTCCACTGAACTTCTTAAAACGTACATACAATATATGAGTTAGAAACAGGAGGCGGCCATTTGGTTCCTTAAACCTGCTCTGTCATTTAATAAGATCACAGCTGACTGTAATCCAAAATCTACGTTCCCACGTATTCCTTGTAACATTCACAACATCAAGAATCTATCCACTTCTGCCTTTAAAATATTTAGAATTTCTGCTTGCACTGTCTTTTCAGTAGAGTTTCAAAGGCTAAAGACATGCAAAAGAAATGCCATCACTTGTGTCTTAAATGGGACATCCCTTACTTTTAAACAGTGACCCCCAAGTTCTCAATTTTCCCACAAGAGGAAACATCCTTTTGACATCTACCCTATTCAGCCCCCTCAGAATCTTCTATATTTCAATCAAGTCACCTTTTACTCTGATAAATTCCAGCTGATACTAGATAAGCTTGTCCAACATTTTTCACATAGGTCAACCTGCCCATTCCAGGCAATAGTCTAGTAAAGTTTCTCTGAACTGCTTCCAATATATTGGAACCTTCCTTAAATGGAGTGATCAATATTATACATAGCACTCCTGATCGGTCCTCACCAATGTCCTCTATAACTGAAGCGTAACCTGCCTACTTTTATATTCAATTTCCCTTAGAATAAACAATAACATTCTGTAAGCTTTATCAATTACTTGTTGTATCTGCACAGCTTTTGTGGTTTATATAGTAGGATACCCAGATCCCTCTGTAACTCAGAGCTCTCCAATCTCTCACATTTAGGTAGCACGCTTCATTATTGATCTTCTTGGCAAAATAGACAATTTCACATTTTCCCACATTATATTTGTCAGATATTTACATACTCACTTAAGATGCACATATCCCTTTGTAGCACCTTCTTCACAATTTAAATCGCTATCCATCTTTGTATCATCAGCAAATTTAGCAACTCTCTCTTCATTCGCTTCAACAAAATCATTTATATAAATTGCCAGAAGTTGATGCCCTACCACACCGCTTGTTACATTTCTTCCAATAATTTCAACCAGTTAACCTGTTGGTCAATTGCCTTCTTCCTTCTTCTATCATCAGTGATTCCAGGCACTTAAAACAAATTACTTTATTCAAGTCTTCACCCGCAATCTTTTCACCTTCACTCTGATCCTCTTCCCTAGGCTAAATCTGACACTGCATAGACTGGGGTCTTTGGTCTAGTGATCTTCATGACTCTACCTTGAGGCTCTTTGCTACAGTTCTCCAGAACTTGGTCATGTTCTCATCATTTTCACCACTATCTTCTGCAAACATTACTGACCGTTGCATTGCCCACCTCATTTGTTCAGTTAGGGTATCCATGAAAACCAGGAGGGGAATGAGCTCAGTGTTAATTCTTATTGCTATCCAACTTTGCCTTTGAAACTGTCATTCACTTCCAGTGTTTCTTACTCTTCTCTGGCACTCTGTGTAAATGCTCTATAATAGTCATACATACTTTTCAAAGACACCATGAATTCTAGCACATCACCAGACTTCCTCCTTAGGAACCGAGTCATTAGTCTTCTCTAGATCGATCAATATAATCATCATGTTGTATTGTCTTTCCTGATATTTCTGAATCATTTGTCATTAAACAAAAATAGCATAGAGATGCTTCTTCCACCAGTGAATCTGATGGAGTTTCATGGATTTCCACAATTCTTCTCAATCTCTCCTCTATGATTCCCTCTCATAAAAGTGATCTATAGAAACTAGAAATATTGCAATCACTATTCATGGATATCAGATAGGATGGGGGTACCTTTGTGAACTTAACAAATTCCTCAGGTTTTTGAGAAGTAGAAAAGAAAAAACAGAATGAAAGTCAGCCTGTACTTCCATGTGGTTGGTATTCAGTGATTCAAGATTAAATGTGTTTATGCATTTGAATCAAGTAAGAGAAGATGGTTGGATCTTAGGTTTCTTTTTTCAGGATCAAATGGATAATGAATGGTCACTGACCACCCTTTGAGAAAGAGCAGAATCCAAAGAGCATCCAGACTCAGCTTTATCCCAGCCAGAAGCTGGATCATTAGAAAAGAAGTAAAACAAACAGAAATTCTTAGTATCTTGGAAGCGATGAAACATGCTGATTGACTACAATGCCTCAATTGGGATTTGTCACCACAGAAAAAAAACTCAAGTTTCAACAAAAGTCCACAAAAAATAAAAAAAAAGAGTACAGGGTCTTGCAAGAAAACCAGTCATGATTGGGACAAAAACAAACCTTTCATAGACTTTACATGACTGGGTTTTATGTGCAATGTTAAAGACAATAAACAATGATCATGTACCTTGTACTTCGTTGTCATGGCATTCTTTCAGTTTAGTCCATATCTCCTTAAATACATCTATGGCAGCTTCAGTTGTACTTCCAGTGCTTGGGCTCCCACAGTTTGCACTGGAGCTATTCATGGTATGGTTTGTATGCAGATCTTCAAAGCTACATACTGTAGTTAAAAATCCTCAACTCAATTTTCACCTGTAAAACAGATTAGTTAAAACTGATCTTAGAGATTAAAAAAATAAAAAAAGATTCCTCTTCCCAACCTATATTCCTCTCTTCTCCAAAAAGTAAGCAAATAGATTCAGACCAAGATTCTTCAACTCTTTGGATATCAGGCATTCTAGGAAAACCCTACACATTCTAATACAATACAATAAAAAAACACATCCCGTACATCTCAGCTGTCCTCGTTTTTCAAGGACCGCAACTTCCCCCCCTCAGTGGTCGAGAACGCCCTCAACCGTGTCTCCCACATTTCCCGCAATTCATCCCTCACACCCCGTCCTCGCAATAAGAACCAAAAAAGAATCCCCCTCGTCCTCACGTACCACCCCACCAACCTCCGGATCCAACGCATCATCCTCCGACACTTCCGCCATCTGCAATCCGATCCCACCACCAAAGAAATCTTTCCCTCCCCACCCTTATCTGCTTTCTGGACGGACCACTCTCTCCGTGACTCCCTTGTCCGCTCCACACTCCCCTCCAGCCCCACCACACCCTGCACTTTTCCCTGCAACTGGACATTTAATACGCTGGCACACAACACATCAGTGAGGAAAGTTAGAGTACATGGCATGAAAAGGGCAGTAGCAATTTAGATACAAAATTAGCTGGATGAAAGGAAGCAGAGAAATGGTTCGACTGCAGGGGTGTTTCGATATGTATTTTGGCTACAGCCCGTTTTTCATGTGCAGCTTTATCTGCCAGCGTTTGGCTCCAGCTATCTGGCCCAGCTGTACTCTTGCCCAATTTTTAAAGTCAGCCCTCAGCCCAGTTACTTATTCATAATCTGATTGTTTGTTTGTTCTTTTCCACTGTCACTCAAAATCTTATGGTAAAATGATCAATTTCCCTAAACGCTGCCACAGGTACATTTGATCTGCTTGGCCAAACCCATTCCCAAGAACCAGATTTTGCACTGTAGGTATCAATGTGGACTTCACAAGCTTCAAAATCTCCCCTCCCCCTACCGCATCCCAAAACCAGCCCACCTTGTCCCCGCCTCCCTAACCTATCCTTCCTCCCATCTATCCCCTCCTCCCACCTCAAGCTCCACCCCCATCTCCTACCTACTCGCCTCATCCCGCCCTCTTGACCTGTCCGTCCTCCCTGGACTGACCTATCCCCTCCCTAACTCCCCACCTACTCTCACCTTTACTGACTCCACCCCCGCCTCTTTGACCTGTCTGTCTCCTCTCCACCTATCCTCTCCTCTATCCATCTTCTAACCACCTCGCCCTCTCTCCCTATTTATTTCAGAACCTCCTTCCCCTCCCCCATTTCTGAAGAAGGGTCTAGGCCCGAAACATCAGCCTTTCTGCTCCTATGATGCTGCTTGGCCTGCTGTGTTCATCCAGCTCTGCACCTTGTTGCCTCTCATCCACAACCCTACCCACCAGAATCTCTGATAATCCTCCCATATAAAGACCAATTTTGTCAGTCTGAAGTAATTGTGAAAAAAAAAACAGAAGACTGAAGTATATTCCCTTGCTGTTTACAGTGAAAAGAGTCCAAGATGGCAAGGCATGCAGCCTCTGCAAGTTGCAGTATATGCAAGCCATTTGTTTTTTCCCCATTTGATCCTTAGTATTACCATCGACTGCAATGGATTAGCCAGTATTTTTGATTTGCTGGTACCCTTAGTGAGTGCTGGATAAAGTGAATTTTACTGTACATAGTAGACTCACGATATTCATATATGTATATGTATAGTAACACCCTGGCTGCAAAACAGTCATCCTAGCAACTCAGTAACATTGTTGATCATCATCCATGTATACAAGTGCCCCAAGTGTAATCCTCGAATTTATGTTGGAATTTAGCTCAGCAGCCTTTGAGGAACTTTTCCAGTAGTACCCCAGATAATTATCCAGCCAAGGATTTTTAAATTTATTATTTCATGGGATCTGGCACCACTAGCAATGTCAGCATATGCTATCCATCGCCAATTCTTTGAGGATAGTTGCAAGTCAACTATATTATTGTGGGTCTGGAGTTATGGACTGCAGGCCACACCAGGTAACGATGGCAGATTTCATTTGTTAAAAGAACACTCGTGAGTCAAATTCACTATTATAACAATTGTTGGTGGTTTCATGGCCACTATTACCAAGAATATCTTTGGATTTCAGATTTTATTGATTAAATTGAAACCCTGCCAGCAGCCTTTGTGGAACATGAACCTCTTCCCCAGAGCATTATCTTGGGATGCTAAATTATTAATTCCATGAAGTTACCACTACACTACTATCACCTCCAGGTGGAACACAAATGAGCTCAAATGTGCAATTATGTGAGGACTAAATGTAAGCTTGTGAAACTTGCTTATGACACAACAATAGAGAAAGTTGTAGATACAGCATGTGTGATAAGACTTGGATAATTTGTGCAATTCAACAATGTAAATTATTGAGTACTGATGAAAGAAAATTGAGTGAATCAAGCATATAATGAATCAAACTTGAATGATAGAGAAAGAAACATAGAAGATAAGGGCAGAAGGCGGCCATTTGGCCCTTAGAGCCTGCTCCACCATTCATCACGATCATGGCTGATCATCCAACTCAATAGCTTAATCCTGCTTTCTCCCCATAACCTTTGATTCCATTTGCCCGAAGTGCTTTATCCAGCTGCCTCTTGAACACATTCAATGTTTTGGCATTAACTACTTCCTGTGGGAATAAATTCAACAGGCTCACTGCTGTTCGGGTGAAGAAATGCCTCCTCATCCCGTCCTAAATGGTCTAACCCAAATCCTCACACTGTGAACCCTGGTTCTGGACACACATACTATCAGGAACATCCTCTCTGCATCTACCCTGTCTGGTCCTGTTAGAATTTTATAAGTCTCTGTGAGAACCCCCCTCATTTATTATTTCTGTAATCTCCTCATGGCACACAGCTTTTGATTTCTCTTCCCACAAGTAGTCAAACATGGGCAGCAGTAGAAACCACATTTAGAAAGAGATAACAAAGTCAGAATAAACTACAAAAATTCATGAGAAAACAACCAGCGTAACATTCCAAGAAAGTAAGACACTGCAGAGAGAGAGGATCAGGAGGATAAAGGTGAAACAGAACAGTGAATGAATATTGATTCAGATCACGGTAAAACAGATACATCAACACCAGAGCCATAGAACCTCTCGGAGATAGAACAGCACAGAACTAAAATCTCAAAATTGTACACCAAGGGTCAAAACAACTCACCTCTGAATAACTTCACATTTCAATATGAAAATCTGGAAAGATATCAGGAACAAAAACAGAAGTTGCTGGAAAAGCTCAGCAGGTCTGATAGCCTAATTGAGGAAAGGTCCGACCTAGAATAATGCTCATGGCAGTGGATGGTATGGAACATTCACAGACTTGTGCACATCACTGCAGATGTCTATTGTAATTTGTGAGAAAAAACATTTCCAGAAATTAATCCTACCTGTTCTAACTTCTATTTTAACAATAATATTGTTGTTCTAGATTTCTCACCAGAGGAAATAGTTTCTCTGCATCCACATCATTATATCTCTTGGAATTTTAAACACCTTAATGAGGCACTTCTCAACCATATAAACTCAAGAGAAGCCAGATCAAGTTTATGTTGTATAAACCTTAAATCGCCTTAAGCTATCCAATGATGAAGAGCACTAAGAACAGGTTTTCTAAACTCACTAAGTCAAACCAAAACAAACAGTAACAAATAAATACAAATTGAACAAAGTCATCTTTGTCCAAATTGCATGGGAATGTAATAGGACACTAAAATGTCGCTGAATGATACTGAAAACCAACTGGATACTGAAATATATAGCCAAAACAGTAGAACACAAGTTGCCACTAACATTTTCACTCCCTGAAATACACCTCATTCAAGATCCTATTTAATTGCAATATTCGCTCTTCTGTAGCCAGCCACCATTGTCTGGATGCATTAATCAGTCGATCTTCCTCACAATAATTGTGCCCCCGCCCCCTCCAAAATTACCCTTGAATGTAAGGAAGTTAAATGCAGATATAAATGTCAATTAGCATTGGGGAATCCAAAGCAGAGGGGAAAAGAATGTGCAAGAGTTCCTTATCACTACACTTAAGCTAATTGGATCAGCTGGGTGCAATACAGAGAGAAAATCTGTGCGCAGGTATGAAAACACATTTGAATTGCTGCCCATTTAAATGTATTAGACTTTTATTAACAGCGGAAATGGAAATGTTATGACCTGTCCCCAGGCAAGGTTCTCCAGTTTACTACAGTTCCAGATACGATACTTCAAACCATTAAGTACCTAAGTGAGGAGAAATGAATTGGCTCCCCTTCGTTAGAATTAGAATTAGGCTTTATTGTCTTAGATTCAAGAACAGGGATACACAAGTACAGTGAAAAGTGTACAAAGTTGCTATTTCTGGCACCATCTTAGGAACAAATGTGCCTAAGTACAAAATCTTAGGTATAAATTAGAAAAATAAGGAAATAAAGTTAAAAGTTCAGCATTACAGACCTTCTAAAGCAGAGGAAGCAGACAGAGCAGACAAGTCCACACTGAGCTTCACTGCACTGGTCTTCACCAAGATAGACAGCAGGAAACAGGAGGTCCTCAGTAGTACAGTAACCAGCACAATTCAACAGAAACAATGTGATTGCACTGTCACATCCTTCTGACCAAAAGCATGGACATACCACACTGGGGGTTCTCCAGTTAAGATGTACAGAGTCTCAGCTACAGTTTATTTTTCCTCTTATTGATGTTTGCCTTTCTTTGTACTGCCCATTAGGTCTTTAATCCAGATAGATTAACTTACATTCATATGTAGCTGGGCTTCCTTCAGGACCCCCTCAGGGAATTCTCTGTAGTTGCAAATTGCTCATACAATCTTGACAGCTGTGGTGGAAGGACAAACACAAAAAATATTATACTGCGTCAGCTTCCTTTATGTTATAAACGTTCCTTGTATTTTCAAATTATTACACCCAAGATCGTTTAGTGACCTGCCCAATAACATAATACAACACTCACCCTTCTGTTAGTGGTAAGAAGGTTGATTTTGAGAGACCTCTTTCTTATAAATTTCTCCCAGACAAAAATAAAATTATATTCTAAAAGTAGCCAATTTAACCAGACTTTCTTGAATTAAGAAAAAAGTTTGTCAATTACTAATCACGAGCAGTAGTGAAGCAACACACACACACAGAAATATGAGGTGAATTCAATAAGATAAAGTTATAGCGACTGTCTGTGTGGAGTTTGCACGTTGTCCCAGTGTCTGCATGGATTTCCAATGGGTGCTCTGGTTTCCTCCTATGGTCCAAGGATGGGCAGGTTAGGTGCATTGAACATGCTAAATGGCCCATAGTGTCCAGGGATGTGCAAGCTAGGTGGGTTAGCCATGGGAAATGCAGGATTACAGGTTGTGGGGCAGGGTCTGGGTGGGATGCTCTTTGGAGAGTCGGTGTGGACTCGATGGGCCAAATAGCCCGTTTCTATACTATAAGGGTTCTATAATTTTATATAAGATCTATGGATCAGTCTGTGAATTGCACATGAAAAGCGAATATTTGAATGTCACATCCATCGCAGTGGATGTTACCAGTAGTGTTAACGGACATTGTTGAACTGTCAATTTCAAGATTCCTGGCTTTGAAGGTTGACTGAAACTCTTTTGTTCTGATTCCTTGCAAGGGTGGCTGACTGACAGTCCACAAAGTGAGAGACAAAATTTGTTTTTGTAAGGCTAGATGTGTTTATATGGATATTCTCAGAGCTGTGACCCTTGCAGCACACCAGGATGTCAGGACACTAACGGACACAGACTAGTGTTGTGTTGCAGTTGCTTCTTTTTTTTTTAATTTTTTTTTTGCTAATTCCTAGATGGTCAAAAAACTGCAAGATGTGGCTCTCTGCTAAGAAGTGAATGATAGTCAGCCCCCACACGATGTTATAATTCTCCATGTATTTGAAATTTCCTGCTACTCTACAGATGTGACATTCCATGGGTCCTACACAGAACTTTGCCAGAATGACTGAATTTATAGAATCATAGAATCCTTAGGATGAAGAAAAAGGCTATTCAACCCATTGAGTCTACACCGAACTTCTGAACAGCAGCTCTCCCAAAGCCATCCCGATACCCTATCCTCATAACCCTGCATTTCCCCATGGCTAATCCACCTAACCTGCGCATCCCTGGACACTATGGGGCAATTTAGCATGGCTAAGGCACCTGTCCTACACATCTTTGGGCAGTGGAAGGACACAAGAGCACATGGAGGAAACCCAAAGAGTCACAGGGAGAACATGCAAACTCCATACAGACAGTCACCCGAGGTTGGAATCAAACCTGGGTCTTTGGCGCTGACAGGCAGCAGTGCTAACCACTGAGCCACCATGCCACCCCGCCACTCCATGCAGTTACAAGGATCATTAACATTAGCTACAGAGCCAGAATATTAAATTCCAACCCAGTAACAGGGATCATTATCATCAGCTACAAATCCAGAATATTAAACTCCAGCCTAGTGACACGGACCATTAACATTAGCTACATCTGCAGTTATTTTGTGACTGGAGTAACCTTCTCTTAAAAACAAAATCTTGGAGTGAAAATTAACAATTTCCATTGGGTTCTAAACCAATGTCATGACACAAATTGTCTGAATACCCACTTGATGTCAGAGGCAACATAAACTTTGTAGCATGAAGTCTAAACATCATATGATATTTCACTACAAACTGAGGATATTTATTCTACAGCAGTTAAATAGTTTGGTACCTATAAAATAACAAAAGATCACAGGATGCCTTACAAAAAATGCTAGTATGTGTTCGAGTATTGCTAATAAAAACACATTTTGTCAAAGCTTTTCATTTTGCACTCATCAGTGCGTTTGCATGAAATACAAAGTAAAGGGAAAACAACATCCATACTATACAAGGGGATAGTCATGATAAATTGACAAAGACAGTATGATTGTGAAAGGTTTTCCATGAAGATGTTAATGATGACTAATAATTAACTGGTAAGCTTTATTTAAAAATTAAACAGAGCAGACTGACTGATTGGTCTTGACATTGCCCTCAGAAATGACTCAGAGAACGTCTATCACCAATTTTGTTCCATTGAAAAGACAGCATGTGTAGTTGCTCTTCTGCAAAGAACAAGACCCAATGTATTTATACTTGCAGCTTCCATCACAACACTTTCCAAGCCCAATGGGCAATCCCAAACTGGTTGTTAGTTCTTTGCACAGTCAAGATTATCCAGCAAATGTTGCCCAATTGCACAATCACCTCTAATGTTGGACAGTTTGTTGAGCTTTGCAAGTGCAAGTTGTTTGAGTATGGTCAGTACCAGTGTTGTGTGAACAGCCAAAGGGATATACTGTTTTGATCCAATTTGCCAGTTAATAGCACATATGGCCTTAGCACCTAGCATCCCAGGGCAGCACAGTGGCTCAGTGGTTAGCACTGTCGCTTCACAACACCAGGGACCTGGGTTCAATTCCACCCTCGGGCGACTGACTGTGTCGAGTTTGCACGTTCTCCCAGTGTCTCCGTGGGTTTCCTCCCACAGTCCAAAGATGTACAGGTTAGGTGGATTGGCCATGCTAAATTGCCTGTATTGTTCAGGGATGCATAGATTAGGTGGGTTTATGGGGATGTGGGTCTGGGTGGGATGCTCCAAAGTCAGTGTGGACTTGTTGGGCCTGTTTCCACACAGTAGGGATTCTACAATTCTATGATCCCACCAGCACTAAAATGTCTGATTTACAGACATCATACTTTGAAACGTAATCTCATACACTGGTGCAATTTTAAAGATCTGACGTGTAAGTATTCCTCTACTTTCAAGCTGCTCTCTTATGCTGTCCTATATTGTGTTCTGACTTGCAAACAGACTCCAGAATGGGAAGTGGACAAACAGGAGGCTGGAAAAACACAGCAAGCCAGGCAGCATCTGGAGGAGGAGAAGTCAACGTTTTGGGTATTACCCTTCTTCAGGTCTGAATGTGGGGGTAGGGAGCGCTGTCGATAAAGACCTGGCGGGGGTGGTAGCAGAATGGTGTTAATAGGTGGATACCAGTAGTAGGTACGACCTATGGCCAGAATGGGACACCTTCACAGTGTGGGGACATTCACAACGCCTGTACCACATTACCCATTTTTGTTTTATGCAGAACATCTTTATGGCAGCATCCTAATAGTGGCAAAACCTAGTGATGCTCGTTACATAGATAGGAAGACATGTGAGCAGGTGTTGGTGTACAATATCTAGGTGAATTTAGATGGATTTTGAAATTCTAGCAAGGACAACATTGGAAGTGAGAAGTGTAAAGTGGATTTTGGCTACAATAGTAACAAGTTCAGCCAGAAGCAGCATTCAATCTGGTTAACAAACTATGTATTTTGTTTTAAGTTGAGCCCTGCTTAGGGTCAGACAGATTGAGATGGCACACCATCGGGTATATGCTGACAATTCATCCAGAAAACAGACATTTTTTGGTGAGGCCACCTGCTGGCTGCAAAACATAAATATGAAAATTCCTTCCAAATATGGTTCACAGTGGAACGTAAATCAGATACTTTCAAAAAATATTTTAGAGGTATTTGGTATATATAGCGTGCTTGTAAGGAAGAGAGAGCTTTAGAGAATGATTCCTTATGTTTTGCACCATTGGAGACTTTGTTGCACAATACTTGGATCTGTTGCAGACATTTAGAGATTTATTGGTATTACTATTTCTACAATGCATTATCGTAGTATCAAACACTTCTTTAACTCCCAAATGCATAGCCAAGGCTGTTGCAAACTTGGCAATGACTAGTCATTAGAACTGCATAGTACTAACAGCTACTACACTATGATGGTGTCCAACTACAAGGGACCAAAACTATTGACCGAAATTGAATTGGAATTCAGTGACCACGATGAAAAGAATTTATTTTAAAGCTGGCAATTTCAAGTATTGTTAGGCATGACAAAACATGCCCTCATTCCTTTCTATTCAGCTTCTCACGTACTACTGGACTACGACTAGTTAATCAATTACCAAATGGAAGTTCAGAGTGCTGGCTTTCTGTTTTCGAACATGAAGTATCGTATATATGTATATATTTAAATCTCACACAAAAATAATTAGAGCCTCATTCACTGCAGCAAGTTAATTTTCTGCCCACTAGATTCACACTAGATTCAAATCCAATAAAATAAAGAGATCACCACTGTTCTTTTGGGAGAAAACCTTTCCAACACAACAAAGTGGCAAGTTACTCATTTTCAAAATTTAGAGGCATTGTCTCATCCTACTTCATATTAGAACAATTGTTTTTATAATACAGGCTTAAGATATACAAAGTTCAAACTTAACTTAAAATTCAATTATACATTACATACCTTTAAAATTATATTGTGAAAATTAATCTTGGCATTTCCTACTTCTGCAGTCCTCACGTGTACCACAGAAGGCAATATGCATGGACCAACTTCAGTCACTTACAAGACTGCTGCTCAGTTCAAACTGTCTGTTTCTGCCAGGGCATATATGTAAATGCACAATGGATAACCCAATTATGCTTTTCACAACTGGTTGAGCAGGTTTATGCACTCCCTGCAACTGGGAATCAAACTAGAATTTGTTGGCATAATAGCCTAGCCAAACTGGTTTTGCACTCATCTAGAAACTGGTTCAACTAGTCTGCATCAAAGAAACGTTCAAGCTACAAAGGCGATTCAATATACAAAAACAGGCCACACTATCAACTCCGAAAACAAACTTGGGACTCCCTGTTTCCAGTCAAAGTGCTCTCACTAAATAAAACTGTGATCTGGTTTTAAAATAATGTTCAAATGTTGCAATTGATTTTGATGTACCAAAATGTTTTGATTTTGAGACATGAATGATTAACTAAATAAGTCAGGCAGACAAAGGTAAAATTCAAAACACTAGCCCAAGTCTCCACTTGTTGGTTGGAGTGCTTACGTCCTAAAGTGCACAGAATGCGAGTTTAGTCATTGTTGTTTTAATTAAATTTTTCCAGCAACAAATGTAAGCATTGAGAAACCAAATGCAATGGAAATTAAAAGTAACTATACACAAGAACAAAGATCCTTCTAGTAGGTAAACATTAAAATCTAGAGTTTGGAACTTTTGCCATGAAAAGCAAACAAAGGATATACTTTGCTTATCCCCAGAACTTGCTGCAGGCCAGACACAACCCGAAAACCTGCACCTACCATATCTGGGCAGGCATGCAAAGTAAAGACATAACTGCTGTCACATTTTCTTCCATTTGTACTGCACATTGGAACGTGCTTGCCAAGGGAGCACTGGCAAGGCAGGTGGGGTTGGTAGAGGTTTGAAGAGATATGCAATACCTCAATTTGTTAATGTGAATAAACACTTCAGGTTGATGACAGTCGCATGCTGCTCCAGACAAGTTTAGCCTTCAGTCAACACCAATAACAGAGACTGTTCAGTCATTGATTTCATTGTTGTTTGTGGGACCTTGCCATTATGAACTGGCAGCTACGTTTTCCTGCAATAGTGATCACACTTCAAGTGCAGTGATCTTATTTCCAGAAATCAAAACTGAGACACCATTAAAAACCTCGGAAAAGTGGGGCTCCATGATTATTGACACATTGGACAATTAATGGCAGGGTTCTGAAGGACAGTTACATTGTACTCAAAATGTTAACTGCTTCTCTCTCCACAAATGCAGCCAGTCCTGAGTTTCTCCAGCAATTTGACTACAATGCAGGATAAAAACAATGCAGAAGTTTGGACGAGAAACACTGGAAAACAGAGGTGAGATCAAGAGGGCAAGAGGAAAGAGTAGGGCCAATTAGAGACCATGGGAGCAATCTCTGCATGGAACTGGAGAACAATGATAGGGTGTTAAACGAGTACAGGTAGTTCTGCTATAACGCGTGTTTCGTTAATGCGAATTGGCATAAACGCAATTGAATAGTGGTCACTGTATGAATAACGTTTACTTTCTACTGTACAGTATAGCTATTTTCTATAGCAATTTCCCTATAACGTGATTTTCTACGACAATTTTCTGTAGTGCGATTTTCTATACCGCGAGGTCGCACAAGAATGCAACTATTGTGTTATAGGAGAACTACCTGTACTTCACATGGTTCTTCACTTTGGAGGAGGAGATATGCAAGTACAGTACATAATTCAGGAACAGAGACTGTGAAGTTCTTGAGCAGTTTGTCACAGGGAGTGAAGAGGTATCGAAGGTTTCGGCAGGCTTAAAAATGAATAAACCCAAGTTGGGATGAGTTGTATCCCAGGTTGCAGTGTTAGGGAAACCACTTGAGAAAATTCTGAAACAAAGGATTAATTTCCATTCGGAGAGACAAGGTTTGGCCAAGAATAGTCAGTAAGACTTTGTCAAAGGGAGATCATGCCAAACAAATTTTACTGAATTTTTCACGGCGGTGATGAGATGTGTAGATGTGAAGGTAGTGCAGTGGGTACAGTGCGTAAGTACTTCAACAAAGCCTTTGCCAAGGTCCCACATGCGATACTGATGAAGAAGATAAAAGCATGTGGTATCCAGGGTAATGTGGCAAGTTCAACCCAAAATCAGTTTAGTGGTAGGAGACAGAGAGTGATGGTAGAAGGTTGGTGCGTAACTGGAAGTCAGTGTCCATTGGAGTACAACAAGGATAAGTGCTAGGTCCCTTATAGTTCATGTATATTATATATAATGTGGAAGGGGTGGTGACAGGACAAGAAGGCAACAATAAGTAGGCTTGCAGATGAGAAGATAGTTGACACTGGTGAACAAGGTCTTGGGTTACAGGAAGATAAAGATGGATTGATTTGATGGATAGATCAGTGGCAGATGGGATTTAACCCTGACAAGTATGAGGTGATGTACTTTGGAAGAAGTAACAAGACAAGGGAGTATTCAATGAATGTTTGGACACCAGGAAGAGTAACAGAGGGATCTTGGGGTACTTGTCCCTAGATCCCTGAAGGTAACAGACAGGCTAATCGTATAGTTAAGGCTACTTATGGGACATTTGTCTTTATCAGTCATGACTAAGATTATAAGAGTACAGAGATTATGTTGGAGCTGACTTTGGTTAGGCCAGAGCTGGAACACTGTGTGCAGTTCTAGTCACCACACAACAGAATCACCCTACAGTGCAGAAAGAGGCCCATCGACTCTACACTAACCTTCGGAAGAGCATCTCACGCAAACCCACCACCCCACCCCCATAATCGCGCATTTACCATGACTAATCTACCTAGCCTGCCCATCCTGGACACTACAGGCCAATTTAGCATGGCCAATCCACCTATCTTGCACATCTTCAGACTGTGGAAGGAAACCAGCACTCGACGAAACCCACGCAGACACCAAGAGAATGGCAAACTCCACACAGACAGTACCCAAGGCTGGAATCAAAGCCAGGTCCCTCCTGTTGTGAGGCAGCAGTGCTCACCACTGTGCCCTATACTATATGAAGTATGGGATTATACTGGAGAGGTGATTCACCAGGATGTTGCCTGGGATGAAGCAGCTCAGCTATGAAGATATGTTGGATAAGCAGAGATTGTTTTCTTTAGAGCAGAGAAGGCTGAAGGGATCTGATAGAAGTGTACAAGATTACAAGAGCGTGAACAAGGTGGATAGAAAACAATTGTTCCCCTTTGTCGAGGGTCAATAACAAGGGGGCATAATTTTAAGGTGAAAGTTAGGAGGTTTATAGGAGATTTGAGGAAAAACTTTTATCACCCAAAGGGCATAGGAATCCTGAACTTCCTGAAAGAGCAGTTGAGGCAAGAATCCTCACAACCTCTGAAAATTACTTAACTGAGCACTTAAAAGTGTTGGAAAGTTGCACTCATGTCGACTTCGAGTAGATATTTGCCAATGCAGACTCATTGGGCCGAAGCGCCTCTTCTCTCCTGTATAATTCTATTGGACTGTCACCACCCAGTCGATGCCATGAACCAAATGTGAGATCCTGAAGCCTTCCTCATTGGCAAAAATCAGATAGCTACTAGTTGGTAGCAACACCAATTGCTGCAAATATCACATTCTTGCCCTTGAGCTCCTTTCTGATTGGATCAAGCCACCTGCCACTTAACCGCTGGATTAGCTGTTGCCTGCCCGACTGTTGAGTGTAGGTTAGCTCCAACAGAAAAGAACTGGGTTACCTTGGGGGATCTTCTAAAAACCAGCAGATTGGATGAGTCAGGATCATTAAATATGATCTTATATTTGAAATGAGTGCCCAGAGGATTTTAAAGCAAGCAAACATGGAATGGCTGGCTGAATCTCAGGATGCAGTTCAGCGCACAGTTTTAACTGAACAAGGTGCGTGGATACAACAGCAGAGCCACAGTGGCGATTAAAACCTAGGTATTTCAGTCATCAGAAGAAAATGACTGGGGCACTTAGAGGAATACCCAGATGGTACCAACAAAACTGTTGGATCACCTAACTTTAATAATCACTAATTAGAGGTAAAGCTATTTAAAGGACGCAAGCTTGTGAAGCATAGTATGTGGATACAAGGTTTCCCCTCATTTTTATTCGAAGATGTCGGACAGCAGGCCTTCATTCAATTGTCTGATGAGTTTTATTTGGACCCATGGCTTTTGTGGCTTATGTTACTGAAACTTCTACAGGAATGTTTTGCGTCACACAAATCTCATGGTTTTCATTACATTTTGAATTCAGTTTTCAGTATATCCTTGTGACTGCATTGAAAGGCCATCTAAAGCAATTCCAAAGACATTTGCCCTACAGAAAGCTGCAGGAAATTACAAAAACATGGCACATCTGGGCAAGCTTCATTTAGTTGGGGGTTCTGTTGGTTTCCCACCAGAGATCTGCAAAATGCTTGAGTAAATTTAGCCTCTAAAACTTTAGACAGATCCACTGGCACAAATAGATGAACAATGAATCACAAAAAAAAGACATTTAATATCAGAAAAAGGAAAATGCTATTATGTCCAATTCTCAACATTTTCACAACACCCATCTTGTTAGCACCTTAAGAATTTGTGTGTTTCAAACAGATTAACTCAAATTTGGTCAAACTCCAGTCCTGATTTACTCAATCTTATAGCAAAATCCCTTTATACCAGGAACAAGTCTACTGAAGCTGAACTGTACTCCCTCAAGACTATATATATGTGTTTTCTTAGGTAATGAGATCACAACTGCAAATGTTGCTCCAGCTGTGCACTCACCAATGCATTATGCAATCATACTCAGGTTTCTTCACTTATTTGCCATTCCAGTTGCACATCATCTACCTCTACATAACCATCTACTCTACGTACACCTCTCAGGATTTTGAAAACTTATATCAACTAAGAAGATTAGTTATTGTGGCAATATAGGAAACATAGTAACCAAATTATACAGAGCAAAGTCTCAAATAATAAAGGTGATAACAATCAGATAATATGTTTGCTGTAATACTGACGAAGGGTTAAATGAGCTAGAACACCAGAATATTTTCCGTGTTCTTCTTCAAAACAATGCCATGGAATCAATTACATCTATCTGAGCAGACAGATAGGACTTCAGTTTAAACATTTCTTCAACACAAAAACAGGCATTGCTGCAAAAGTTCAGCATCTGTGGAGAAGAAAAAAAAATTAGAGTTAACGTTTCAGGTTAATGTTAACAAAGAACAAAGAAAATTACAGCACAGGAACAGGCCCTTCGGCCCTCCAAGCCTGCGCCGATCCAGATCCTCTATCTAAACCCGTCGCCTATTTTCCAAGGACCTGTATCCCTCTGTTCTCTGCCCATTCATGTATCTGTCAAGATACATCTTATATGATGGTATCGTGC